GGAGGCACGGGAGGCATAGCGGGTGCGTTCAATGACCCCGCCGGTCCGAGCGCCAGGGCTGGGGAAAGGACGCCCCGTGGAGACGGGAGGCGGCCGAGGGACGGCGAGCGCGCAGGTAATCAGGGGCGGACCGAATCCACCACGCCGGAGCCGACCAGCGGGTCGGATAGCGAATCGGAGGGCGACTCTCTACGCAGCGCGACGGAAAGCGGGTCATCGTCCGAAGAGGAGGATGACCCGGCCCACCGTTACGCCAGAGTGGAAGCCTCCGGGCGCTATCCGCACCGAGAAAGGCGGCCTCCGGACAGGTACTCGCCCTGATGCCGCAAATAGCGTCGGCCAGTCTGCTCCCGGCGGGACAGGTGTTAGGATCAGCGGCTTGCACTCCGACTCTGTGGCGCGAGATGGCCCGAATCGGTCTGGGGTCGGCAATGTTGCTGGCGGCGCTCCTGCTACTGGTGATGGCAGGCCCAGGTGAGGTGCTGCATCGTCCCGGGGCGATCTTCGTCCGCCGCGGGACGGTGAGTATGGTGGGAAGCACGTACCGCGTGCTAATACATCTGCATCCCTACGATTACAGGGTCGAGCTCGGGACAATGAAAGCCTTTCTTGCGAACTCTACCGAATTACTTAAAGGACTTAAGAGTAGAGCTGAGGCTGAACCCTCGAAATTTGACGCCCTAAACAATACAATTCAAGCCTTTGACACTCAGGTGAAAAGGGCCACGCAAGCCTATGCGGTGCTAGTTGCGAAAAAGCAAATCCTCAACGAATTATTTCCCGAACCCGCGTCGAACCCTAGGTCCGACGGACAAATCCCTCAGCGAAGGCCCTTCAGGCAGGATTCAATTGTAAATCTATTCGGACTGGCTAGTGCCTCCCAAGTCGAGCACCTACAAGAGTGGGCGGAGGCCGCGACGGCCACCACAAATGGAATATTACACGCCGTGGACCAACAATACACTCTTATTAACAAAACCGCGTCAAAACTAAATCAGCAGGAAAATCGTTTAAATAGACTGGATGGTTTGGCCGCCGAATACGCAACGCGTATGGCCGCTCTGACTTCTTCGACAACCTCGATGACGATCTTGCAAATGGTACAGGATGCCGTGCTGTCTTTACTCAAAGGCTCTGTAACACTTCTCGAATATACCGCAGAACTACGTTTACTCTTGGATGAAGAATTAAATCAGGCGCGAGATCTCGTGATGGGAAAAGTGCCCCTTACGCTTTTGACACCTTCGGAATTCCGTGCTATAATGGAAGAAGCACGAGCATCGTTACCGCCCTCCTACTCTTTCTCCGCCTCCCCATCAGACATGGCGTCAACTCTGTCCACCGCTACAATCACTGTGATTATCAAGGAGGGAGTCTCTCCATATTACGGGGTGCTCGAATTTCCAATTCATCGGGAAACGTTCCAAATTTATCAATTCCGCTCGGTACGCGTGGCGAGTCCGAGTGGATTTCCCATAACAGGCCGATTTGACGTCGGTAACCCCCTTTTGGCCGTGTCGGGGGACCGCTACTTTTCGACAAACACGGCGAACATTTATGAATGTCTAACGGGTGCTCATCCCCGGTTTAAATCTCTCTCTGACCATATGTGCACGGCCGTAGCCAGCGTGTTTAAATTCTCGTCGAATGTTACTCCGGCTAGTTGCATTGCCGCTATATATTTCCAAAGCAAATACATATCGGATATTTGTCCGCAAACGGCGGAAATTTCTAATCTTACACTGTTTGAACACGTTCAAGAGAATCAGTGGCTTTATAGTTGTCCCGACCCGACCCATATGCTGCGAGTTTTCTGCCCGCCCGACGGAGAAGAGACGCACAGTAGTGTTCCTCTTGATCCGAACGGTGGGTTGCTCCAGCTACCGGAGGGGTGTAGTGGATTGCACGGAAAGGTAGAGCTCCCCGCCACCTTCGGCCTGCAATCCCGATACAGGGTGCCGGTTCCGGTACATCGGCCGTTTCCGCGGCTCGAGGCGGACCACTGGCAGTCAATTACAGCAGGGTCGGCGGTGCCGGCTGAAATAAATCAAAAATTGAAGGCGACCATCGCCAAATCATCCCAATTAAAGCTACCATTGAAAGAATACGAGGCGACCCTCCGCAAATTGAAATCTGAAGCCGCCCGCAGTACGTTTCACAGAACCTTTCACGCCCCCTCGTTCGCGCCCGCAGTCAGTGTGTCGGCGGTACTCCTGGTGGGGGTCGGAGTTATCGGATTATGGCTGGCGCGCTGGCGGCTGTCAAGGAAAAGGGGGTCCCGTGAGCCCGAGTCCCGTCCCGGCAGTAGGGCAGCCGACATGTCAACTGAAATGGTGCCGTTGCGGCCAGTAACCGGACCAGCGGGTTCCACTCCCTTCCCTCTGCCTCCGACGAGACGGCCACTACCGGCTCCACCAGTTACCATACGAGAAATCGACTATGTCGGCACGGATGACGACGGGCCCCGGGAGACAACCTCAAGGCGGCCGCGCCGCTCCTCCCGCCCCCGTGCTCGTTAGCTCGATCACCCCAAGCGACTCAGTGAGATACACAGCGATCCGGGGGGGGGCAGGTGTATTGGCGAACAACGCGTAAATCACAAGCCAAGGGCCGGCACGCTAGCCCAGCGTCAGCGCCGCCTCGACCCGCTGAAGCGCGCGGGCGGTCGAGTTGATGTGATCCATCAGGGTTTCCAGCCGGGCCGATTCGGCGGCGATCCGCTGGATCTGCTGGTGTTGTTTGTCCAGCTCCGCCCGTAAGCCTCGGGTGGCATTGACCACGATCTCCATCTGTGAAGGTGAAATGAGGGGTCAATGACATCCGCCGTCCGAGCGGGCGAACAAAGGGCGAGGGGCAAACTGAAGTTAACACCGCGGCTCCGCCTGAAATTACCGAGGGCAAGGGACAGAGGATGGGCGTGCGAGGGGGGGTTCAAGGCTGAACTCAGGGACAAGGCTACTGACCGATGAGATCGGGCAGTCGGGTTACAAGGCAGGGAAAACAATCATAATAGTTTCACGTACAAATTTAACCTTGGTGTCGGTGACGACATGTATATGAACCGCTGTGATCATATGCATGCAAACATGAGGCTGAACATCAATGATGAGTAGGATCGTGCCATTATGCCACGCCACAAACGAGTGTCAATGCAATTATGCATTGGCAGGCGATTATACCAGCGTGCGCATAATGCACAAGAAAGTGCCTGCTATTATATCACGCCATGAACAGGTGTCAATCCACTCGCGCATTGGCAGGTGTTTACACAAGCGTGCATATAATGCACGTATAGAACCAGAGCGCATGCTATCATGCCACGCCATAAATATGAGCCAATACGACCAGCATTGTGCATATTTATGACTGCGTGCGCATGATGCATGAGGCGTCTCCTAATACGAGCGCCATTATATTCATTTCATTAGTCAGGTAGATACAGAACCAGAGTGCATGCTATCATACCACGCCATAAATATGAGCCAATACGACCAGCATTGTTGCATATTTATGACTGCGTGCGCATGATGCATGAGGCGTCTCCTAATACGAGCGCCATTATATTCATTTCATTAGTCAAGTAGATACTAGTGTAGTACATGGAGCATAAGGCTCAAACCACGAACCTATAGACGGTCAACACACATCGCCTACGTGTGCTGAGGCGGGCCAAATATCGATATAATGTGCCCGCGCTCGAGCGGGGACGTTATATCCGTATTCCGTACCCGTGTGAAAACTGATTGATCAGTGGCCCAAGGACAGGCCAGTTCAATGCTTACCTGAGGCTCCAGCCCGGAGAGCTTGAATAGGACTGGTACGACCAGTCCCAGAAGGCCGAGGCACAGAAGCGTTACCATCACGAACCCGATGATCCGGCAGATGTTGCACATGATGTAAATAATAGAGATGCGTACTGGCAGAGCGCAGAGCGGCGAATGACGCCCGGGTGCGGTCCCTGGTCGTTCGTACACCGATTCGAACACATGTCGGGAGCATGTTCTCTCAATAAAATCTCGTCCCGACCTCCCGACGACACAGTCGGGGCGGTCGTGGGACCAATATATCCGCTCGCGGCCGGTCGCCATGTGTGACGCGGAATCGCGTGAAGAGACGCATCGCGCGGGGCAGGCCGACCAACGCCGCCCAATCATCAATAACCATGACCATTACCATTTCGTAAATGGAGAAGGCAGCGCCTTGGTGCGCTAGCGCGCCCATCCGCGCCGCGTGATCGCCAGTCCCCACTCCTCGTGGGCTGACGCGAGGGGAGGGGGGAGTCAATCACCGCGCGGCTTGGGACCCGGGCGGGTCCTTGACCCTCCCGGCCAGAGCCACACAGTCTATCCCTCCGCCGGACGGTTCAGCACCCGTTGGAGGGGTGGCCTCTGAGGGCCTGAGAGAGAGAGAGAGAGAGAGTGACCGGCGCAGGTAGAGCGGGAGAACGGCCACTGGCCATCCTGCCCCGAGGGGAGGATGGCGAAGTGGCGCCGCCCGCCGGCTGATGGCATTTGATAATGATGTTGACGGTGCGCGTGGGGTGGAGATGGTAGGCGATGGGGTGGTGCAAGCGCGAGGGGGGGGGGGTTGAAGTAGGGGGTGGGGCGTGGCTTAATGAGTGTGGGTGTGAGGAGATTGGGGTCGTCTTTCATCGGCGGCGTGGGGAGCCGGCGAACCGGGGTCATGGTCGGCCGCCGTGCTTCACTGCCGGCGGTTTATGTAAGGGGAAATGTAGGATGGCATATTATGTGTTAATGTATAAGAAATGGGTAGATTTAGAATGCGTCGCGCGCGCGAGAGAGAGAATCGCACGAGAGAGAGTCGTGCGAGAGAGTCGCGCGAGACAGAGAGTCGCGCGCGCGCGAGAGAGAGAGAGAGAGAGAGAGAGAGAGTCGCACGAGAGAGTCGTGCGAGAGAGTCGCGCGAGACAGAGAGTCGCGCGAGACAGAGTCGCGCGAGAAAGAGAGAGAGAGAGAGTCGCACGAGAGAGTCGTGCGAGAGAGTCGCGCGAGAAAGAGAGAGAGAGAGAGTCGCACGAGAGAGTCGTGCGAGACAGAGAGTCGCGCGAGACAGAGTCGCGCGAGAAAGAGAGAGAGAGAGAGTCGTGCGATGAAGCGCCCGAGAGCGCCGGTCGGCACGCGAGGGGTGGACCGCCGCCGCGCCGTGGGTCGTGGGGAGGGACGGGGCTGGGGGAGGGCAAGGCAGGCGTTTGATTGTGTTTGTCCGGGCACTGGGGAGGGATGGGTCTCGGGCTGGGGAGGGAATGTGTTTGCGCGGGTGTGGGACGGGGACAATGACCGGGGTTTGGGAGTATGACCGGGGGAGGGGAGTTTAAATGACGAGGGAGAGAGACGACGGACGATGCGGCGGAGGAAAGGAGACGTGACGGAATAAGGGAGCGATCAGATGACAGCAAACGACTGAGCGAGCGAGCGCATGGAAATGTTGGCCCCGAACACATGACCGAGCAAGTGCCAGTCAGGCGCGGAATACCCTATCCGCTGAACATCAAGGTCCGAGGATCACGACGCATTTGCTCAAATCACGTGTTCGCGGCCAATTACTGAGGTATGTTTGGGGCGCACGCGGGAAAAGGGTTATGGACTTGGTGAGGAGGAGGGATGACGGATTGTGAGTGAAAGAGCAGGGTCTGAGACTGATATTGAGACTGAGACAGAGACAGAGACGGAGACAAAGACAGAGACAGAGACGAAGGCTGAACAGAGAGAGTGAGAGAGAGAGAGAGTAAGCGATAGAGAATAGAGAGACAGAGAGAGAGAGAGAGAGGGAGAGAGAGAGAGAGGGGAGAGAGAGAGAGAGAGAGAGAGAGAGAGAGAGAGAAACAGACGAATGAGAGCGGGGAGTGCATGGATGTGTGAGACCACCAGCTAACGTGAGTGGTGGATGTCGGCCCGGTTTTGGGTTAGGCATGCTGTATTACAACTGTGGTTAGACTAGTTTCTACATGGTGGTGGACTGGTTCGAGGTTTCGCTGTCATTAATAAAAATCCACATTCCCATTCAAAATTATCGAACGGTCACAAACCTTTCCCCATAGTGAATGCTGTAACAGATGAAGCGTAATAAGGTAACTACATTTAGTCAGATTTCATGTGAACCGAGGCTGCAAGTGTTAATGATTCAGAAAAATGTATGCCGCAGAGTGTCGCGATGTGTGTATGTGTGTTATGTACGGGCCGGAATGATTGAGGGGAGGGAAAGCCCCTGCTCTCCCACAGGCATGTCGCCCGGTCCGCCGGCCGCCGACCAGGAGCCAGCGGCGACCAAGACCTCGGCCGTACGGGCCGGGCGACGGCGGTGATCCGTTCTCCAACTCGCCGCACCGTACGCCAGCCGCCCCGCCGCTCCCGGCGGCGACTACTGCCGCAGCAAGTCGGGGGCGGTGGGCGCGCGGCCGCCGACCCCGCCGCTCCAGCCGTCTGCGCGGCTGCCCGGAAGCCGCGGCACTCAAGAGCCGCGGCGGTACGGGCGGCTGCGCGCGGCCGCCGACCTCGCCGTTCCGGCCGTTCACCTCGCCTCCCGGTCCGCCGCAGCATTCAAGAGCCGCGGCGGGAGGGACGAAGCTCTACCGCCCATCTCGCTGCCCAAAATGCCCGCTGCCCCGCGCCGATCCCGCGGCTACTACTGCCGCGCCAGCTCGGGGCGGCGGCACTCGCCCACGGACCTCCGCCCGCCCGCCTCCAGCGACGATAACGCCCGCGGCAGGACGGGAGCGGCGGCGCTCATACGGCCATCAGGCCGCGCGATCCGCCAGCCGTCCCGTTCAGCCCCCGGCAGTACGGCGGGCGGCGGAGCTCGGCCCGTCTCACCACCGCGCCGGTCAGCAGCCTGCGGCCGCCCCACTGGAAACCGCGGTGCCAATGGCCGCGGCGGTACAGTGTGTGACGGCGGCCGGGCCGGCCGACCTGACGGCCCCGCCGGCTCTGCACGGGCTGGGATACAGCCGAACCACCTGTCGACAGCCGCCCGATCCAGAACCAGCGGCCCGAGTATCCGCGGCAGCATATGGTCGGGCGGCAGCTTCAGGTGCCGGCCGTGCAGAGGCGCCACATGACAGCTCCCGGGGGTCGACGCCCTCCACCGGTGGCGTACCCAGCTGGCGGCAGCGTGACAGGCGGCGGGCACGGCGCACCACCCGCGCACATGAGCCGCCGTCGTCGCCGCCGCCACCGCCACCTGGTGGTTAATCGACGCCCTATACCGGTGGCGCACCAAGCTGGCGGCAGCGTAACAGGCGGCGGGCACGGCGCACCACCCGCGCCCATGAACCGCCGCCGTCGCCGCCGCCACCGCCACCTGGTGGCGCGACCCCGGGACGCCTAGCGGGAGCCGTCCAACTCTGAGGCGGGCATGGCAGAAGAAGACGGTCGCCCCGACACCTAGCGGCGCGCGAGCACTTACAAGCGGGGGCAGCAGCTGCAGCTCGGGAGGTCCCGGACTGTGGCGGTGGCACTGGGATAAAGGTACGGCCGCCCAAGAAGGCGGCCATCTATCAAGGTGTCCACCGCCCGCTACAACCGGCCATGGGCAGCAGCGTGCGCCCCCGGCAGTGCATCGCGCGCCGCCGTTCGAGGCGGCCTGTGCAGCGCGGATAGACTCAGGGCGGAAAGGAAGGAGCGGAAGGAACTCGAGGCGATGCGGGCGAGCGGATCAGTGCGGGTCACGGATTGGAGCGGCGAACAATACGGCAAGCGTGTGATGCGATTGGCAGGAGAACGGACACGGACGAACATTGAGAGGGAGCTTGGGGCTGGGCGATCGAGTGTAATGTACTGATGTAAGTTGGATGTATGTGGTATGAATGATTCAGGCAGGATAATTATTGGTACAGATCATAGCGCAAGCTTCACCTGGAGAGTAAGGGGACCCCTTTTTGACCGTTCGAGGGAGGGGGCATTATTATGTAAGGGCAAAATTCATACGTCGGAGAGAAATGGCGGGCCGGAGTACCAGAGTGCGTGTAAGGCCAGTCCGCCGCATGATAGCCTCCGGCGGGAAAGGCGTGCCCGCCGGGTGAAAGGCTGCGGCTGGCCGGCACCTGGGACTCGCGGGCCCGCCTCTCGTGGCATTTGCCAGTGCGGTGTCGTCGGGGCAACATCTTTCGGTAAGCGAACTTTTCCCTCCCCCCTAAATTAACGCCGCAGCGCCCAGGCGCTGCGGAAGTCCCCGACAAATGTCCTGGATTTCATTTGGCTTTCCGACCCGCCGCAAATAGCGGTGGGCACTCCCGTTTTATATCCAGGACAGTCCCATCTAAATTATAATTAATCGGCGCGGCGCGTGGCGTATATGAGTGAGCGATTGTAAGTGTGATGTGTATAGTGTGCGTGAGGAAAATGATCCGAGAGAATGACACTTCGTCCCGCGAGACCCAAAATACAATGTAATGGGAATGTGAGCCAAATCTTTGAATTGGGTAAAGGCAGATGCCGGGCTGATACACGGTGAACGTGAACGAACAATCATACGGGCCGCTTAGTTTAATACACCCGGGTGGCAGGCGGGCATTGTAGAGTAACTTTGATTAACGTAATGTCTGTACATGGGGGGAACCATTAAAAGGTTGCCGGTTCCGATGCTTGAAACCCCTACAGAGAGAGTTCTGAGCTGAGAATGGAATGCATGGGATGTGTGAGTCCACCTTAACAAAAGTGGTGGATAATCGGGAACAAACTTGGTTTTGGGGCATGCATGTTGCTCTTCTTTAGACAAATAATCCTTCACGGGGTGACGGACTGGTACATGGTTTATCTGTCACTAATAAAACCCACATTCCATTCAAAATTTATCGGACGGTGATAAAGTTATAAATGTATCCCACAGTGGCGTAATGTAACGAGTGTAAAAAAGTAAACATATTTAATGAGAACCTGGGTGTTAAATTTGTTGATTATCGGAACCAGGTGTGCTGCTGAGTGCCGCGATGTATGTGTGTGTATGCCGCGATGTATGTGTGTATGTATGTGTAACGTTGGGGCGGCATGGTGAGGGGAGGGGAGGACCCTGCCCAGTGCCCGCCCACAGCCACGTTGCCCAATTCGCCAGCGCCCAGCCGCCAGCCTGGAGCCACCGGCGAACAGCTGACCTCGGCGGTACGACCGGGCGGTGGTGCTCCGCTGTCCAGCTCGCCGCGCGGGCCATCAGCCACTCCGCCGCTCCCCGCGACGGCAAGTGCCGTGGCAAGTCGGGGGCGGCGGTGCTCTGTCGCAAACCTCGCCGTTCCAGCCGTCTGCCCAGTTGCCCGGACCCCGCGGCGTTCAAGAGCTGCGGCAGTACGGGCGGCTGCGCTCGGTCGCCGCCCCGCCATTCCAGCCGTCTGCCCAGTTGCCCGGACCCCGCGGCGTTCAAGAGCCGCGGCAGTACGGGCGGCTGCGCTTGGTCGCCGCCCCACCGTTCCAGCCGTCTGCCCAGCTGCCCGGACCCCGCGGCGTTCAAGAGCTGCGGCAGTACGGGCGGTTGCACTCGGTCGCCGCCCCGCCATTCCAGCCGTCTGCCCAGCTGCCCAGACCCCGTGGCGTTCAAGAGCTGCGGCAGTACGGGTGGCTGCCAACAACAACACGGACGACATCTCCACGATCGCAGGCGACGCTGAGCTCCAACAGCTTTACGAGGACCTCTTTGAGTACGAGGACCCACATTACTGACGACCTATCCGTATCCAGTCACCAGTGATCTCTTTCCCCCTCTGCTCCTCGCTCCGTTCCTGTATCCCGCAACCGCAATTCCTCTTCATCCTCCACTTCCAGCAGTCAAAGCCGCCATCCCACCCGCCTTTCTCCCACACAACCGGAACAGACAGCAGACGCCGGTCTCAGCGGCATGGAGAGAGCCGCTCGGCAGCGGCAGGCCAGGCGCCGCAGCGCGACCGGCTACCGGGACCGGGTCCTGTCCGCCCTGGATGACTCCCAGGAGGAGGACCGCCGGGCGGTGGCGCGGGAGGAAGCACGCGACGAGCTGGAGGACCGCGTGCTGGACGCCCTCCTGGAGGAGATGCGGGTTGGCACTAACCTGCTCCGCGAGGCGATCGGCGTCATGAGAGATGACGGCTGCGTCGGCCCAACCGGCCGTATCGCCGCCGCTCGCGCTCTAACATGTAAAGGTGTAGCCAGTCTTGAAAGTACCGCGCATCGGTACGGCGGATTAATCAAGCCCGACCGAGGAAGGGCTGCTTAATTTGAGTCACCGAACCAATTGACCTAAGGGATGGATGAGGATGTTGTAAGGGCAAAATTCAGCACGAAGCGTACATCGACGAGGAGCGGCGGGCCGGAGTACCAGAGTGCGTGTAAGGCCAGTCCGCCGTATGATAGCCTCCGGCGGGAACACGTGTTATTTTAATTCGCTAGTGTGACGTTAAAGCTCGTGTGAGCTATGTCCTTCACGAGGGATAATGGCCCTCGGGCCACATATGGGCCCGACCAGTCCACGTATTCGGTCCTGCCTCCGGCCCAAAAACCTGGGGGCACTACGGGAGATTCCCATGTTTGAGCCGGACAAGGAGGGAGGCGTGGGCGTCGGGGATTTTCTCGAGGCAGTGGAGAACGCGGCCTCATTGGGAAACATCGACGCCAACGACATGATGAAGGTGATGCCGATGCGCCTGAGGGGCCCTGCAAAGCGTTTCCTCAAAACGTATCTGGCATCCAAACAGGTGGACTCGGACGTGTTCGGGCTGGGTCACCTGTGGAAAGATTTTAAACGCGGGCTGATTAACCGCTTCCGCAAGCCCACGGACCCGGTGGCGCATCTGCTGCAGCCCACGAGCTGTCAGCAGGGCGATACAGAGACCGCCCGGGGCTACGCGCAGTGGCTGAAATCGCTGGTCTATAAAAAAATTGGCCGCAGTTCACTCAGTTCCAAGACGAGCCCATCCGCCAACTGGGCGAGAAACTTATTTACCAACACTTTCTGAAGGGCTTAAAGCCCACAAATCTCGAGCGGATCCATTTAAAGGGTATAGGGGAGATGGATGCCGCCGTGATCGAGCTGACTAGCAAGGAGACATTCGATGCCCTGCAGCGCTCGGGCGGTCGCTCCGTCCGAGTAAATCAGATCGGTGAGGAGACGCCTCCGGCGCTAGAGGAAATCCGAGGAGCAGTGCGCGAGCTCCGCGAGACGGTGGCAACCCACATAGCTAGCACTGCAGAGGCTCTGTCTCACGCGATCAGGGGCTGGAGTGGGCTCAGCCGTCGGTCTCTAACTGCCCGCCCGGCTACGAAATTCAAGAGCTGCGGCGGTGCGGACGACGCCCCATCGCCCATCTGGCCGCGTGGAACGGCCCTGTCCCGCCGATTCCCACAGCGATCAGAGCCGCGCCAGATCGGGGCGGTGGCGCTCGCCCGCAGACCTCGCCGATCAAGTCTGCCGGCCAGCTGCCCACCCCATGCGACGGTGATGCCCGCGGCAGGACGGGAGCGGCGGCGATCAAACGACCACCCCGCCGCGCCGTCTGCCCGCCGTCCCGCCCCGCCCGCAGCCGTACCATGGAAGGTGGTACGCGGCCCGCCTCTCATCATGCGCCGGCGGGCAGCCTACGGCCGCCCCACTGGAAACCGCGGTGCCAATGGCCGCGGCGGTACAGTGCGCGGCGGCAGACGAGCTGGCCGACCGGGAGGACCCGCCTACTGTGTGTGGGCAGGGCCGCAGGTTTTGCTGCTGGCCCGGCAAACGTCGCGGGACAGCTCCCGGAGGTCGACGCCCTCTACCGGTGGCGCACCAAGCTGGCGGCAGCGTGACAGGCGGCGGGCACGGCGCACCACCCGCGCCCATGAACCGCCGCCGTCGCCGCCGCCACCGCCACCTGGTGGCGCGACTCCGGGACGCCTAGCGGGAGCCGTCCAACTCTGAGGCGGGCTTGGCAGAAGGAGACGGTCGCCACGATACCTAGCGGCGCGCGAGCACGCACCCTACAAGCAGGGGCAGCAGCTGCGGCTCGGGAGATCCCGGACTGTGGCGGTGGCGCTGGGATAAAGGTACGGCCGCCCAAGAAGGCGGCCATCTATCAAGGTGTCCACCGCCCGCCACAACCGGCCATGGGCAGCAGCGTGCGCCCCCGGCTGTGCATCGCGCGCCGCCGTTCGAGGCGGCCTGTGCAGCGCGGATAAACTCAGGGCGGAAAGGAAGGAGCGGAATGAACTCGAGGTGATGCGGGCGAGCGGATCAGTGCGGGCTACGGATTGGAGCGGCGAACAATACGGCAAGCGTGTGATGCGATTGGCGGAAAAACGGACACGGACGAACATTGAGAGGGAGCTTGGGGCTGGGCGATCGAGTGTAATGAACTGATGTAAGTTGGATGTATGTGGTATGAATGAATCAGGCAGGATAATTATTGGTATAGATCATAGCGCAAGCTTCACCTGGAGAGTAAGGGGACCCCTTTTTGACCGTTCGAGGGAGGGGGCATTATTATGTAAGGGCAAAATTTAGCGCGACGTGTACGTCGGAGAGGAGCGGCGGGCCGGAGCACCAGAGTGCTGCTCAGGAAACGCATGGAGCACATACGAGCAAACCCAGGCTTCAGCGATGTCATCATCTCAGTTATGAAGGAAAAGCAGCGCGATGGCCGGGGTACTGACCAGGTTTGCATCGTTACTTTCGATGAGATGACCCTGAGATCAAGCCTAACCTACCTCAAAGGTGACGACGTGGTGAAAGGGTTTGAGGACTTCGAAAGTCTGGGGAAGACAAGTCGGCCAGCAGACCATGCCTTGGTCTTCATGGCTCGTGGGTTTAACCACAATTGGAAACAGCCATTGGGGTACTTTTACAGTGCTGGGCCAAGTACAGCTCAGGTACTGAAAAGTCTTCTCCTCCAGTGCATCACGAAGCTGCAGGCTGCTGGCTTTGTCGTGGCTGCCACAGTCTGCGACATGGCGACCACAAACCAGGAGCTGTATAGTCGCCTCGGAGTGAGCGCCGAACAGCCTGCGTTTGCCTGTGGTGGTGACTTCATAACTGCCCTATACGACGTGCCGCATCTGTTCAAACGTGCACGAAACGGGCTGTACAAGCACGACATAAAAGCTGATGGCAAGAAGCTGTCATGGGGCCACATCAGGTTGTTCTATGCGGTCGACTCGGCAAGACCGCTACGCTTCGCGCCAAGACTAACGGCAAGCCACGTCACCGTGAAGCCCTTCAAAAAATGAAGGTCAAGCTGGCAACGCAAGTGATGAGCCGATCCGTCGCTTCTGGCATGCTGATGTATAGCTCGCTAGGTAAGTATAACACTCACAAGTGTTCCTTCTAGTTAATTTCAGAAAGCTTACAATTGCGTCCGTTCTGCTTTTACTGGTATCTAATAATATGTGTGCCAGTTAATTGCATTTATGGTACCCGATTGCAGAGGGGTATCATAAAGTGTAATTGTACCCGCGCACATGAGCCGCCGCCGTCGCCGCCGCCACCTGGTGGTTGCCGAGGTCTGGAGGTCGACGCCCCCTACCGGTGGTGCACCAAGCTGGCGGCAGCGTGACAGGCGGCGGGCACGGCGCACCACCCGCGCACATGAACCGCCGCCGTCGCCGTCGCCGCCGCCGCCGTCGCCGCCGCCTCCACCTGGTGGCGTAACCTCGGGACGCCTAGCGGGAA